TTTTTCTCTTGTTTAGTCATATCTAACTAAAAAAAATCAAAATACTAAAAAAATGTTAGAAAAATACTTCAAATTAAAAAACAAACAAAAAAATTATATACTATAGAAAAAATATATATTTGTAAAAATATATATAAAACAACTAAGCAGAGTTATACAAAATATTTTTATCATAATCAATCTAATCATTCATATAATCTTTAAATTTTGTAATAGTAAATGCGGTGAGTCTTAAAGGACCATCCACAAATACCATTTGTTATCTAACTAAAATAAATTAAAAAACAATTCAAACAAATTAACAAAAGAAAAAAGAAACAAAGAAAGAAAAAAAAAACAAAGTTAAAAGAAAAAATACATTCGATATTGGAAAGTATTTAAAAAGGAATTAAAATAAAATATAAAAATTGCTCCCTTTTGTAAGAAAGAAAAAAAAAAAATTTTTATTATTTTAGAGTGACCATATATGTTAGCTTGATATGATTTACTTTTTTATTTAAATAAATGTCATTTATTATGAAAACTCTATACTTTTAATTGATTAATTTTTGTTTTGTTTATTTATTGTTAATTTTTAATGAAGTAACTATTTTACTTTTATCGTTTTTATGATGATTATTGATATTAGGATTATGTTTTTTTATGAAACTATTGTTTTAGAGACATAGTAGGTTGTTACGTTTTGTTAGTGCACAACTGTTTGCAACTTCCTGTCTGTTTATTATATTCAGTTGTTGTTTTAAAATTTATATTGGTTTATTATCTTATTGTTCTTATAACTTTTAATTTATCATCATTATAATTATCATTATTTGTATTATTCATATCATTATTTGTATTATCAATCCTATTTCATGGTATTTACTTAAGATAAGCTTTTAACTATTTGTAAAGGACCTCGATTGTAAGATCTTTTATCAAAAAATATATTGATTGATTGATTTCCATTTTACATGAAAAACAGTCACTAAATTTTTTTTCATCAATAAATTTAACAATATGATAAAACTTATTTATCGTTCTCATAGAAATAAAATAAATGCTAAATGTAGTAATAAATTATATAAAAAATAGGAATTACAGGCATTAAGTGTAATTACAATTGATCATTTTGTTATATTTGGTAATCGAAAAAAAATTAAATTTGAGAAATGTCAAAATATAGAGCAATAAAAAATAATAAAAGTGTTTCAGAAAATAAAATGCAAATAAATGATAAAAAAAAGTTTTGGAAAAAACATTACATGACAATCATGAAAAGCAATTTTGATGATGTCATTTATATGGTCAAAGTCATTTTTTTAATTATTGTCAATTGAATGTATTATTACAAACAATATTAATATAATAATGTTATCATTAAAAGAAAACACTTGAGACACTACATAATAAATATTAAAATAAATAATAAAGCACTTTTTTTATCAAGAACAAAATTAAGCAATGTACAAACTTCAACAAACTATAACAAGTGCAGCAAGACACACTGGAGAAAATTGTCATTTAAAGTTGCAACATGTTCAACTTTTTCTAAATTTAATGCCAAATATTCCTATCGGACTTAAAGCATAAAGATAAGTAAGAAAATTTGATTTCTTTAAAAGTTACTAGAACACAATATAGGTAGTCTCGTCAAAAAAGTAAATACTTTTCACTAAACAAATTTTGTTATCTAACTCAAATATTGCCAGATGTTTCTTTAAGATAAAGATTTGGTAAGTAAACATCATTATATGATAAACAAATTACACATACACATATATATTATATACACTATACACATAAACATATACAATATACACATATACTTATTCATATAATATATTGAATATAGTATAAATATTACAATAATATTTTTGTGAAGGGACAATGTAAATAGATATATATTAATTAAATTAAAATTCTTTATTTAGTCAATGAAATTGCAGTTCTTGATTTTTTTTTTTTTTATATTTTAATAAATAAAAAAGTGTTTGTCAAACTTAGATATATCTAATTTTTTAAAAAAAAAACTTTATTTTTTACGTAAAAAGTGAATGTTTTTTTATAAAGTTAGATATATCTAACTTTATTAACAACAGTGTTTTTTTATTAAATAAGCATCTTTTGCATATCTTTGCATAAAAATTATGCTGATATGATATCAGCTTAACATTTATACAAACCAAAGTATAATAACCAAACATTTATACAAACATTTATACAAACCAAAATATAATAACATTTAGTTGTAATAAAAAAATAAATCTTGTAAACATTTAGTTTTGCTTTTATAGTACCATCATAGATAACAAAAAAAATATTTAAATAATGGCAATTATTGCAAAATGACATTCGACCAAAACTCTGTATCCGCCGCAATAGGGCCACTGCTGGCCCGAAATCAAATGCCGTCGTAGTGGCTTACGACTATTTGCCGGAGTTCTGGGATTTCGTCGCACGCGACTGCGACTTCTTGCGTTGATTTACCGTACATAAAAATGTGCTTGAATCACTTGCCAGTCTCCCTTCAGTAATGGCCCGTTACTAATATAGTCGCAACGGCGTGCGATGATTTGCCAGATTACTGGCCCGGAGTCGTGTACTGTCTGGAACATAAATTAAATTACATATATATCAACTCCAAAGTCAACTCACTCATTTATGTGTTTTATCTAAAAAACTTTCACCTTTTTGAAACATTATATTAACAAAGTTACATTTTGGAAATACTTTATTTTTTTTTCTAAACAATATTATTTATTTGGTTGTATCTTGTTATGATTAATTTTTATCTTGAGTTTACGTTAAGTTTAATTTTTATCTTGAGTTTATTTTAAATTAAAAAATATCAAAGTATAGTTGTACCTTATATATTTATATTTAAATTAATCATAATATATACCAATCACATTGTAAGGGCTTCGTAATAGGATCATTACGATCTTCTTGAAGTCCTTGATTACAAATTCCATTTTATATTTTGACTCACGAAACTTATAAGCATTGCACCTTCAATTTACAAAATTTGTAAAAGTTATATGTACGGCGGAATATTTTCCGCCGTATTGTCTTTGTATAGACCAGCTATGAACGCAATAATCTGCCAGCTATGGACAAAAGTCAAAATTTTGACTTAATCCAATCTGTCTAAAAATCATATTCAATGGTTTATACCTAATTAAAGTTTTGAAGTTATGTTATTATATTGCTATATTTTTAAATAATTCTTAATCATCTTTCCGGAACAGCTTTATGATAATTATGTGAAAAGTTGACAATTTTGTTATTATTTTCTTTACGTTGTTACACAGTTTCATTTAATTATTTTTTCATAACAACAGTATTGATTGCTATTTTAATACAACTTAACATTTAAAATGTAAACTTAGCCACTGTTATGGATTCTAATATCATTTTAAACTGTAATTAATAAATATTAAAACAGGTAAAACACAAAAATTTAACTTTTTTATACTTAAATGTGCCAAATTAAATGCAACGTTTTTGGGTCGGGTTAGGGCAGCAAATAAATGGTCATAAGTTTTTCGTTAACATGTAAGAAAGCAAACACATTTGGTTTAATGGATGTAGGCAGACGTATTCGAGCTACAAATTGAGCACAATTTTGTTGCTATGGTACCAAATTTTACATAGCAACAACTTATTTATACGTTAACGTAGTTTTAACAGTTTTTTATTTGTGATATATATATACTATTATAAATACATGTATTAAAATGAGATTCACACTTCTTATGAAAGTCAAAATTTTATTGGTTGCAATGGATAACTAATTTTTTAAATCATTTTTACATAACAACATTTTTGATTGTTAATTCCTTACGTTTTAACAATTAAAAGGTAATACCTAGCTACAGTTATGGATGCTAAGGTCATTTTAAGTTGTATTAAATGAATAACAGAATTGACATACGTAAAAGTGTTATTTCATTATTCAAATGTGCCAAATTTAATGTATTGTGGCTCAGATTTTAAAGCTGGATGTACTATTGATGAAAAAGTTGCATGTCATCTTGACCACATTGTCAACAGCGCAGCCAATTAATGCAGATGCATCTCAAAATTACTGCCTTGAGGTAACTTTAATTGTTGATAATATTTCTATACTGAGCTGTGGCTAACTTAGCTTCTGTAAGTACATGACTGATTGCCTCTTTTAAGTTACTCCTTTGTGTGCACAAAGCTACCTAATACATGCCACTAATTTGCAGAAAATTTTATACATATTACACACGGACATTAGGTTTTGAGGAGAATCGTCTTGCCTATTGGCATGCTCTCTGAAAAGGCGTAGCAAGCAGGTAACAAACTGTGATGTATTTTAACATCTTTTGTGCTTATCAAACCCATTAATTAGCAGCATTAGGAGTTCAAGTTCTCAAAATTCAAAATCTCAACTTTCAGATGGAGTTTAGTGATATGCTTTAGACTCCGACAGTCCACTCATCTATAATATAATTTTGTTATTTTATGCATAAATAAACTTTTTATAAATCGTTAATGTGTTTCAGATTGTCAATGTTTTATTTGAATATTCTTCGTTTTTTATTTTTTTTAACACATATAAAACATATGCAACTTCCAAAAATAGGTTGTTTTTAAGCAAAATAAGATATAAATAGCAACCAAACATAAAAGGATCACTATCATAAGCAGTGCAAACATCATATTAGTAATCATGCCAAAATTAGTAAATAAAGACCTAATATTTAATAAATTATTAATTTTGTCCCTTAATAGTGATTCATAGCCCACTGTGGAAGATGAGAAAAAAATATATATATATTAATATATATATATATATATATATATATATATATATATATATATATATATATATATAATATTTTTAAGTTTGACATAACTTTATCAAAAATTATATTAAAAAAATATATATATATAATTTATATAATACTTCATTTATTTTATATAGTTTTATCAAAAATATATTTTATATAATATTGTATTTCTTAAAAAAATATATATTTTTTTAATAGGTAAAATGAAGTTCGTGGTATTTTATTCTATAATATGTATATTAGAGTTTACAAAACGTAAGTTGTTTTAAATACCTTTGTATTTAAATGTGGTGTTTACATATTTAAGCAAGATAATTCAACTGGATTTATTAAAAGTACTGTTTTTATTTAAAAATCATTTAAAATATAGACTAATATCTTAAAATGTTTTTCAAATTCAGCAAAATTAAAAAAATCGACTTTACAAGAGTAACAAATAAAATGGTTTTTAATAACACTAATAGATTTTTATCATGGCATACTAAGTACCAGAAGTTGTCAACTCGCGACATGCGTAAAAAAATGCAGGCAAATTTTACATTTGAGAAACTAGAAAATTCTCAAAAACAAGAAAAATACGTGGTTAGTAATAGTGTTTATGTAACATAAATAATTAACTAAAATAAAACCAATTAAGTAATTTTTATTTTTTAGGTGTTTAATAATTTAACTTAAGTTAAATAAATATCTACAAAAACGCATCAGTTTAAAGTTAGCATTAAATTTATGATTACAAGACACCCGTCAGTTTCAAATCAACTTTCAAATTTAAAATGGAATGAGTCAGTTTGGAAGTGATCTAAAAATGGTTTGTCAATGTTATGTAACAAATTTCAATGGTAAATACAATCCTCAGAATTGAGTTGAAACATTTCGACTTCCAAAAGAAATTATAGAACGAAAACGTTGGATTGCTATAATACCATGATAAATGCTCCTAAAACTAATAACACCGTAATACATTAAAAAAAAATAGATCAAAAGGTTATATAAATGTTAGTGAATATGTGATGCTGAGACCTCATGATGCTCAATCAGTATTTATTTGCATACAGCAATTGCATAAAGTTTCGGTTCCAACTGTACTCGCGCCACATAGAAAAACATCGAAAAGTTTTAATAGTGTTCACTGGAAAGAAGAGGTTGAGTTAGCAATGCTTAGTTCTCAAGATAAGATAAAAAGTATAAATGTTTCATATGAAAAATTAAAAGCTAATTAGTTTAATTTTGCTAATATCAATTATTTATGCAATGATGTATTAATTATTCAGCCATCAGATTTTCTTATGGAAATAGGGATGGCAATCACGGGATCGCGGATCCCGATTTCCCTGGATCAGTCTCTAAACTTTCCCGGGATATAGAGATGTCAAAATAAAGGAAAAGTTAATAAAGTTCAAACTTGTAATTGTAGTTTAATAATTTTTATATCGTCTTTGGTATAGTAGGTGTTTGATTGTGAAATTGTTTATTCTCTTTGCAATGTTTTCCTTTTAAAACTCTCTTTTTCTGAATTTTGTTGAAAAAAATTATTTAAAACATTGTTGTTTGTCTGCAATATATATATATATATATATATATATATATATATATATATATATATATATATATATATATATATATATATATATATATATATATATATATATATATATATATATATATATATATATATATATATATATATATATATATATATACATATATATATATATATATATATATATATATATATATATATATATATATATATATATATATATATATATATATATATATATATATATATATATATATATATATATATATTTAAAATTAAAAATATATAATAAAATTAAATTAATGTATAACTTTTATTAAAAACTCTTGTTCTTTTTACCAGCAAGCGCTTATATTTTTGTTATTTTTTATAATATACTTGTTTTGATATTATACTATATATAATTTATATTATGATATTAAAACAAGTATATTATAAAAATAAATAAAATTTAAGCACTTTCTGGTAAAAAGTAAAAGATTTTTTTATAGAAGGTATACATTAATTTAATTCTGAATTTTCTACTTCCACAAGTATGCAAGATTTCAAATCCATTTTTATATCCATTCATTTTACTTTTCAAATGTGTGATTTATGAAAATGCGTGATTCACGAAAGTTTTTTTAACGTCATGCACAAGGCCGGCACGATAGGGTTGTGTATGGGGGGTGGGGTGGGGTGGAAGGGGAAATATTGTGACACCCCCTTCCCCCATCAATAATTTTATTCGGCAAATTTGACCCTTAGTCTGCAAATTTGACCCTTTTTGACTATTTAATCGGCAAATGTATACCCTTTGAAAAGTTAGTCGGTAAATTTAGACAGTCAGTCGGCAAATGTCGTCATGGTAGTCAGCAAATTTTCAAAAAAGATTCAACTTAATTTTAGACGTTCATTAATGTAATAAATATTTAATAATAAAACATCCCGAAACCCCGATATTGAAAATTTTCGTGATTTTTGCCTTCCCTAAATGAAAAGCGCTATTTCCAAATTTTTTCTTTGAATAAACAATGATCTCACTTTTGTAGCATTTCATTGTGGAGTTAAATGTAGTGTTATAACTTTGTCTTCTTACAGAGCTAATATTTTGAACAAACGTTCTTATATTCAAAAAGCATTACGATTTTTGAATTGTTGTGAAATAACATAAAATAAAGAAGTTGTACATCAAAAAATGTGGTCAATGAATAAAACATGCAATGGGGAAAAAAGTTATCCAATTGAATCATTGTGCAAGTACTTGAGTGTTTTGCCTTTAACGATCAACCTACAATTGCATCAGAGAAGATTTTGAACTTCCAAGTTTACGTACTTTAGGAAGAATTCCGTCTAAAGGTATATCTTGAAATGATACTAATTATATCAAACATATTTTTTCTAATCTTAGAAATAAAAGACAAAAAAATGAATATTAATTCTTCATGAAGTTTATGTTTAACCCATGTTGAAATACAACGTTGGCATTGTATTTAGTAAATCAGTTAACAAATTTCATCTGCTAGCAAACATAGTACTGAGTTTTTTGGTTGTAACGTTGTTTAATGGACTAAAATTTGTTTACAAAATGTTACTAGTCAGAGAACTTGATGCTGACTTTTTTTTTGAACAGACAACCCTTATTCTTGCAGCAATTAAAAATAATGGCAATATTTTTGTTGCTATTGTCTGTGATAGTAACAGAATTAATCAGAAGTTTTTATGATTTTTTTGAAAAAAAAGAAGCATGGTGTGCTAAAGATAATATGTTTCTTTTGTTTGATAATGCACATTTATTTAAAAGTATGCGTAATAACTAGATAATAGAAAAAACTAAGGAGGTTGATTTTTATATTAATGCAGAAAAAAAAATTGCACAGTGGGTTGATATTATCAACTTGTACAAGTTTGAATCAAAAAATATTGCTAAAACATCTAAAGCCAATTGCAAGACAGAAAGTTATCATTTATTTTGCAAGTATTTTGCAATGAAACATTAGCAGCATTAACGGAAGTCCCTGATTATCCAAAGCTAATTGCAAGGCAGAAAGTTATCATTTGTTTTGCAAGTATTTTGCAATGAAACATTAGCAGCATTAAAAAGACATCCTGATCTTCATGTAAATGAAGGAACAATTGATTTAACCTCTAATACTTTTGAGTTTCGAAAAATAAGACTATATGCAGATATTTGTTTAAAAGAATCTAATAGATCTGCTATTACTTCTGCTGATCATAAAAATTTAAGAAAATCTTCTTAAGTTGGTAATTTTGCAATACAAATAACAAAAAAGGAAACAGAATCAAGTTACAACTCAAAATACTGCTAATTGTTTAGCTCAGACCTGGTATGGTTTAGTTCAGCTGCCAAAATATCTTTTAGGCACAACTTGTTGTTATTATATGTGTTATTAGAAAACTTAACAACAGATCCATTAGAAAAGGTCATTGGAAAATAAAGAAATTGGAAAGGTATATTGGAAAATAAAGAAAATAAAGAAATTGAAAAAGTAATTGGAAATAAAGAAAAAGCTCATATAATTTTTCAAGAACAATAAGTTCTTGAAAAAGTAACTAAATATCGTACAAAGTTGCTAAAAAAGTCTGAGAATAGTTCAGATGTGTTAATCGACCTTGCTTCAGATCACTCTTGTTTAAAATGTAAATTTATACTGAGCGAGGATATTTCCAACATTATTGACTATTTGCCTGCGCTTGGCGATTCATTGGCTGTCGATATTAAAATGGCATTAGTATATATTGCTAGATAAATTGTTGATAAGGATTAAAATCTTTTTTATTTTGAACAAGTTAAATGATCAACTTAATTATTAATAATTTTTTATAAAAGTTTGTAAAGCTAAATGTTTTATATGCAAATAGAAAACACAAGGACATATATATATATGTTTTATTATCAAAAAAACTATTTTTAATTGCGTAACAAATATATATATATATATATATATATATATATATATATATATATATATATATATATATATATATATATATATATATATATATGTATATATATATATATGTATATATATATATATATATATATATATATATATATATATATACAAGTGTTCTCTGCAGTATTCTTTACGCTTCATGTTTGCATTATAAACATTAAAATGCTGTTTTCTGTGTTTGATGCTGCATTAAAAATTCGTTCCTTTCTATGCCTCTATCTCGAGCATTACCTAAACCAAGCAGAAAGTGCTTCTTTAAGAAGCTTTTTTAATAATTTTTTGCCGCACCTAAACATACGTTAATTGAAATAGAGTAAAAAAGAAATTTGACTGTAGTAACATTTTATAGTCACATTTAATAACATGAAATTGGGTATCAGTACCAATATTCTTTTCACTACATAATATAACTATAAAAAAAATAATATACTCAATAAAAAAAGAAAATAAGGAGAGCATATGACATAATATACTTACAAAACATTATTTGAAATACCTGCAAAGACTGAAATGGTTTTATTTTTTTCTGGGCAGTTAGGTTATATTTTTTTGCCAGAAAATAAATACTTCATGTTCCTTCTTACAAAGTTTGTCAGATTCGTATCACCATTATTTTCAAGAACCTGAAACTGACAATATTGTTACATAAACAAAATCAAATAAGTAAATTAAGTTGATATAGTATTGTGATTCAAAAATCACTATGTTTTAATTACATAATTAAAAAAAACAAAAAATTATGAACCCTTCTCATCGAA